AATCACCCTCCTCCTCCATGGGTTCTACCTCCTGGCATAGTCTGGGATGCATTGCTTCATACAATCTTTGTCGCAGCGTATACTGAGACACCGTCCCGGTAGGCAATCGTCCGTGATACATTAAGAGATCCGTCACAAGCAAGGTTATTCTTTCTGTTTTGCCATTTCGTACTTGCTGGATATCCTTGAACCTTTTGTATAGTTCTTCCGTATTTCGCGAGGATTGGAATCTCTCTCTCAAGTATTTTAACAGGGTCGTTCCTCGGATTTTGTCCCCACCCTCATAGTGGTTCATTGCTTGGTGGTATGCCTCCTCTGCCTTTCCGGTACAGAAGCTTCCAAAGTATGCTCCGCTTCCTTCCTTGGTTTTGTCCACTCCATGTTGGGTAAGGTATTGCGAAGTTGTTATGACCTACTGGTCAAATACTTCAGGTTTTAAGTCGTCCTTTTCGCCCGAGAATGAGGGTGGCAGTGGGAGTTCAATTTTGGGTCCTGTTCTCCCGCCAGATTCACCTTCGGACATATTGTGTTCGGACTCTTCGTTACTCGAGCTGTCGTCTGACGAGCTTTCTGGAGAATCCCTGGGGGATTTGTCCAATGGCTATCTTACTACCGCATGATCTGATGCTTCTTCTTCGTCTTCTTCCTTCCTAGGTGTCCCGACAGGTATGCTGTCTTTCTTCGGTGCTTGCGCCAGTCCCTTTCCTTTACTGGGGCTGTGGGGAAATAGCCCCAGAAGGCTGGTTGCTGCCTTTGCTAATTCTTCAGTCGATTCGCTAAAGGTCTGCTTGGCCAAGTCTCGCGCTAGTTGACGTTCTGCTTCGTCAAGCGAGAATTTGCTCTTTGGCCCTTTCTGTTTCTTGGGTTGCCTTTTCTTGGTAAGGCCTTCTCGTGGGACCTGCTCTCCACTTCGAGTCTCCAGTGACTCAATTGTGTCGTGTTCGCGGAGCCAAACCTTTCGTGGTTCTACCACTCCCCGATGCTAGCTTCTCTGTTGGACTTTTCATAGGTTGATCAGACCAGGTCCCTCCAGGTTTCTTAACCACTTACTGAGGTTAAAAAACTGTAACGTGTTCGGGCTAGGCCCTAGTCATATGGCAGTACGGAAGGACCAGATGGCTTTTTGATCAACAAGAAGTGAGCGTTGCTTGCTAAAGGAGGCTTCGAACGGGGTGTAATAGGGGTTCAAAGAAGTAACCGTTCAACCAAGTATATTAAGAATACTGTCAGTCGAAGTCTGCTGTTTTCATCGCGAAAATCAGCGGTCTTTAAATACAGCATATTGCTTATCTCCAGTATGAGCGATATTGTAAAACAATGTCTGTATCAACCGATAGCACACGAAACAATTCCAGTATCAAACGATACTGTGAAAGCAAACATAAAACAATGTGTGTATCAACCTATAGCACACGAAACAATACAAGTATCAAACGATACTGTGAAACTAAACATAAAACATAAAACATAAAATATAAAACAACCTAGTACCCGTACCGGTTACATCTTTCTCAAAACCCAAAAAGTACTAGGACAAGTTACACCCAAGCAAGCCATCTTACATGCAACCAACTAATACCTACAATTCTGCATTGAAGAGTTAGAAAGTAAGAAGAAGTCAAGGTTATTCTGGATCCCAATACTATCTTTGCAAATGTAGAAAGTATAAAGCAGTCTTTGGAGGAGGAGAAGAGTTGATTGGGATTATTGGAACAGAATCGTCATCAGGAGTATTTCTTGCGGCATCGCTAGCTAGTTCTACGAAGGGTGATAGGGATATATTTTCGCTCGTACATCTGGGATGGAGCACGCCTGTTACGCCTGCCGTGCCCACCTCCAGAGGAGTGGGAATATTCTCTCCCCCTCTACAAGATGTCGCTACTATTGACTTGACAAATGACCTGCAAGAGGAACCTAAAGAGGATCATTTGCTACCATACAAGCAGTTTCTTGCTGCCGTGTCGTCGTCTATTTCCTTCAATTTGTCGCTACACAACGGCTATATATCGCTCAACATCCGAATGCTCGTCTCTCCCTCGTCGCTCGTTCCTCATGTCATTGAATTGGAGGAGGATAAAGAGGATTTGCTCCCTTCCGCCCCCATCACGTTACCTGGCTTACTTCGGCCATCGGTGCTTGTACTAGAGGCATACCTGACGACATCTAGTACCTTTCTTGTGACACCACATACCCACATTCAGGCCGCTTTAAGACGTGTTTCATCATCGCTATCATCCCCTCTTGATAAAAGAGACGTGTTTATCGCGCCGTGGGGGGAATGGGGTCGATTAGTATCCGAGAAGGGGTTGAAAATTGGCGCGTGGGAGGAAAGGTGGGAAACTTCGGTCAGAGAATACTTACAGGACTGTGGGATTTTGTCTGTGCCAAACCGGCAGTGGGAAGAAAAGTCAATACTAGAGGAAGTGATTGATGCAGGCCGATGGAGAAGGGTTGAGATTTGGGTCCATATTAAGGATCACCCGAGCGAAGGGATGGGCATACTTGTCAAAATATTATGGCCAGATGCACTGCTGTTCCTGCGCACTTTGGAGGGTGATACTAATGGATTGTGGAGCGAAGGTGAGGACTGTGATGCTTTCTGGAAAAAGGTTTTTGATGCTCCTGAGTATGCAAGATTTGTATCGGAAAGGTTATTGCGTTCTCTGGTCGTTGTATTGAAGGATAAAAAGGAGCTGGGCGCGGAGTGGTGGGATATCCCATCAGCCGTGGATTGGGCAGAGGAATGGATGGAGGGGAAGGAAGATCGTGAAAAGATGGTCTTGGCTAGACGGGAAGAGAAGAAGCGACGGCAGCAAGAACAAGAAAGAATAAAACAGGAGGCTGAGGCAGAAAAGGAGCAGCAGTCGAAGGCTGCTGAGCCAATACTTGACGTCAAGGAAGAAGGGAGTGTTAAAGGCAAACTCAAACACCTAGATGAGGCAAAGAAGGATGGTCTTGTTGCTGGTGGGAATGCAGATGCCTATCCTACTCCACCGGATGGCGGGCAGCAGCAACGGCTCCCAGAACCCTCCTCAATAAGCTCGGGCAGTAGCGCACCGAATACGACATCCAATACCGCCACTACCACTGTTGCAACAGACATGGATCTTGACTGGATAGATGGAGTCATGCCGGATGCCGTTCCCGACCCCGCTCGGAAGCAAAGCGATGCAACCGGAGGAGTAGGGCTGGCGAGAGGTACTGGAGAAGCGGATCTTTTCGGAGGAGACATGGATGAAGATATGTTCGGAGAGGGAGTCACAGAAGACGACTTTGCATTTTTTGACAACAACCCTGGACGCCCCACTCTGCGATGGGCCATTTCCCGGAGGTAAACATCCTGAAAAAGATTCCCGAAGCTACCCCAGAAATGCATGTTGGAGAAAGTCACGGAGCCCTGCCCTAATCTATTTGACGATAGACGTTTATTGGAGATTTCTGCCGGTTCCCTTAAATAGTGATGCAATTGTACAGGAGGCAGTTATCCTTCCAGGGCAGAACAGACTCAGTTCAATGATGCCGGGAACCTGGAGGATGCAGACGACGCAATATAGGAGGATACACCTGTAGCCTCTGCAAGCTCTGGCAGCAGTACAGCATACCTAGAACCATAACTGAACAACTGTAACAAGTGAACACCGCTCTCAAAAAGTGTGGCTACCCCATGGAGAGAGGGGAATCTTTTCCTTAATGAGTGTTGGGCGCCGTACCGGTATAGCACTAGCACTATACCCACCAACATCCCACAATCGGATAGCACAGAACCTCAAACGCCAGCACCCGAGCCTTGTGCTAGGTATCATAGCCCAAAATTTCCTTCTCTGAAAGGGAGGTGAAACAAGAACACAGCGGGGGGGACTGCTCAGCGCCCCCGAAAGAGATGGGATGGAATGGAAAGGTACCGGAGCATACGAGAGGAGACAATCCGAACGGCATAGCATATGATCCAATTATTTCAGATTTTACGGCAGTAGGTCGTCGAAGGTAAGCACTCGACGACCAGTTTCAAGTATGATACTTTTAGAGCTTATCAAACTGAGAGTAAAATACCCTGACAGACGATAATCCGGAGAAAAAATTATTATAGGCTTGTGAAACGATAGCCCAAGACTGCAAGGTAGCATAACTCGGCCATGTCAAGTAAAATGGACAGAAACTATTTCGCTCGCAGGTCGAACACGGTCTCACTTACTCACCATTAGACCATTTGCCTTCAAACGTTGGTAGCATTAGACTACGGTAGTCGGATAGACAGCAACAGCACTTGAGCGCGAGTATGCCTTGGTAAATCAATCCATCCGGAACCGGCAGCCAATTCTTGAGGAGGACAAAGAAACATTACACAGTCAAGTTCTTCACCGGAGTATGATAGATGGGTAACAGGCCATGGGGAATTATCCATCAGTATGTTACGCTAGACTTTTGACTAATCAGGCGCAAGAGGAGCCTTTGTCCTCCCCCTTAGCCCCTCCAGTCTGTTCTGGGAATACCGGGAATACCAGCAAACCTCAACCTTTCACACCTGGCCATGATATTCCAGCTTCTAAGCTAGAATGCACAACCATAAAAAATCTTAAAAAAAAAACCCCAGGACTGGATATCTCTCTAAAGATAAACTGGATCTACGGGTATTGGTTGACCGTTATTTTCCCCTTGAAGATTCTAGAGAGCATGGGCATAGAAAATGAAATTTGCGAAAAATAATCTCTTGCTGCGCCAAACAAGATTATAAGCATGGTTTCAGCGCACAGGAAATTCTAAAATTCAGCAGTGTCCCTAGCCTACCCACCCTAATTTCCGCCTGGTCTGTTTTATTTTATGTGGGGTTCGCCGGGGTAATTCCGCAAGTACGATTGTCATCTTCATTGATGGCTCTACAGCGCAGTATCAGCAGCCGGTATGAGTGCAACACACCAGCAAAAACACAAAAACCGCCTGTATTAAAGGGAGGACCCAAGGGTGGCTAATAGAACCGTTTTTCTCCCGTTTAATGCAAAGCAACCCGGCTGGCGCAATGGTAGCGCGTCAGACTTCTAATTCCCTCTGAAATTGATATCTGAAGGTTGTGGGTTCGACCCCCACGTTGGGTTTTCATATTTTTGGGTGGAGAGGTGCAAGTACGATACACCCTTCATCATACCCACGACGAGACGGGGATAAGGCCACATTCTGTATTTTTCTGACATTAGTGGAAAACCGGCTGCTATTGCACATGGGCAAAAAGAAAATCTGCGAGAGCCTCAAGTTTTTGGTGGCATGCAGTAGCAGTCGTGTTCGCAAGCAGCCCACTCTTGTCGGCAAAGTTTGTCGCAATGGGCCGGGCATAAGCATGTGAGGGCCACATATACCCCGGGCGTCACCGGAATTGTGCGGACTCGAGTGTAATTTTTTCTTTTCCATTCTCTTCTCCCAACGCCACACCTACCGGTAGAATCATTGATCCGAACGAAAGCCCTCGGGGGTTTTTTTTTTTGTTAAATCCTTTAATTGTTTATAGGGTACAATCTCTGTATACAACCAGTAGGTTACGACATAAAAACCCAAACACACAACAAACAAAAGAAAATTATAAAATAACCCAACAAACCAAATAACAAAATTCATCTANAGTAGGTTACGACATAAAAACCCAAACACACAACAAACAAAAGAAAATTATAAAATAACCCAACAAACCAAATAACAAAATTCATCTAGACGCTCAGGCCTTTCACCCCAACCTTTCTCAAACTCAACATATTAAGAAAGCAACTATGACATTCTGGTAAAGGGAGTATCCCCTTTTAACGGAAAATTTACCTTATGTTTCAAAAACAACTTCAACAAATCATTCATGAAACCTATTTCTTCTTCTTTGAAACCAAACACCGCCAAATTCGTGCCAAAATCACGCACCCTCTCGTCTAGTGTCCTCCAAGTCTTCTCCATTACCGGGCATCTATCCATTACATCCCAGTGTGTCTTCTTCCAGTTCGCATCTCCTGCATGTGCGGTCTTGCTCCCTTGTCTTCCAATCCTGCTGATCCGCAAGATAGCTCTTTCCTGCCTTGATCTGATGTATCCGTTCTGCTAGAAACTTCAGCTTGTTCATATAAGTCCAGCAGGAGCGGTACGGTGGTTTCCACTTGTACCTTTCTGAGTACGGGTGTTCACATGAAAGGTGATAAACTTGACTCCGGATACGATCTACTCCCATCCAGTACTTCTCATCATTCGCATCTGAGGTCATGTCGAAGGGATGCAGTTTGAGTGGGAGTACCCACCCTTGATAGAGTACCCTTGCAATCGCAGCGTATCTATCTATTGGTAGGTACTGTTGTACTGAGGTTGAGCTGCTTGAGTTCCACGTCTTTGGTCGGGTTCCTCCAGGCTTCTCGAAAGCCTGGCGTCTCGTAGTTTCAATTCTAAACGGTATTCTCATTGGGAATCCCCCTGGCATTAGGGTCGTGGCATAGTTGTTTTCTGGGTCTGCTGTGGCAAACCTTATCGCCGCCATAGACTGGATCTGTATGATGTATAGTCCAAGCGGCATCAGGCATGCCTCGGCGCTTAGGACTTTTGTATTGGTAGCATAGAAGCAATTCATTATCTATCTTTGCACTCTCCTCCAGAAGGTCTCCATCTTGCCCAGAACTGTTGCAGGTGGGTCGAAGACCTCAGCTCCATACAGGAGTGTCGGAAGGATGATGCCTTTTACCAGTCGTCTGCATGAGTAGGGTGTCAGACCCTTGCCATACCCTGAGAGTCTCTGAATCTGATTAAAGGCTGCCTGTGCTAGGGTCAGCCTTTTGTAGTAATGTACTCCAGTCAGGAGTCTTGCCATCCACTAGTATCACCGCCATCATAATCCATTCGTAGTCGGCTGTACTGTATATCCGTCTACCTTTATGCTTAGGGGTTCAGGTTTCCTCCTCTGCCTTGGAGTCGTCCAGTGTATCATGTCTGTTTTCCCAATCAAAAAGCTGAGGCCTAGCCCTTCGGCTATTTGCTTGACCTGTTTCCATGCCCTCTGTAGAACTATGATATTTCTTTCGTAGGAGTCATTTGCTACTGTAATTTTGAAATCATCAATATAGGAGAGCATAAACCCTTCTTGTGTCAGTATGTCCAGGTGTAACTCCCGTGCGTATAATACGAAGAGTAGCAGCGATAAGGGTGATCCCTGTGGGATTTCTGTGTTGATTCTATGTGATGTCCTCGGCCCTCCTGGGAAGAGGACAGTATATTTCCAGTGTGCAATGAATGCATTGATCCACTTGAGTAAATGGTTGGGGCACTTCCGACTGCACATGGCTTCGAGCATCTTCTTGTGGTCCACATTGTCGAAGCCTCCCTTGACATTGAAGAGTAGCGACGTTAACTTTTTATCTCCGAATTGGTATTCGGTTAGCCTATTATAGAGTGCCATTGCAGCGTCTGCCATGCTTCTTCCTGTCACGCTTCCCATTTGTTCTAACTTATACCCTCCACCCCAGTTCAGTCTCGCTAGCCTTCATGCTACTATGCATTCCACAAACTTTGAAAAGGTTTGCATAAGCACGATAACTCTGAAACTTCTTGGTTGAGTGTAGATCTTCTTTCCTGGCTTGGGGAGCAGGATGCCCTAACTGTCTTTTAGGATCTCCGGATGCAGTGACCATTTCAACATCTGCATCACTAGGTACGGTATAATTTCGTCGTTTGCCTTGTATATTTGTTTCCAGACTCCATATGGGATCTAGTCAGGTCCTGGGGCGGAGTTGTTGCTACATTTATCCAAAGCATTTCCTACCTCCCCAGCACTAATTTCAGCCTCTTTTCCGAAGCCATCCTTCCTGGGGATGACCGCAGGGGCTGGATTAGAGTTGGGGGGAAAAAAATGTTCCATCACCAATCTATCTGTTTCCATTGCAGTTAGTTCTTTTCTGGGCACCTTCTCTCCTGCTTCTTGTTTTGTGAATTTGTTTGCTGTCCAAACATCATTTTTCTTGCATTTCTCCAGGAACGAGTCCCAGTGTTCCTTCTTCTTCTTCTTCAAGGCTTTTCTGTATATCTTCTGTACTATTACCACTTCCTGGTCACTAAGTCTATCCCTTGTCCTTAGTTGTCTGTTCCGCAGTCATGTATATGCCTTTCTCAAGTCCATGAGTTCTTTGTTCCACCAGGGTTTTGACCATCTGGTTGGGTTCTTCATTGCCACATTGTTTTTAACTATTCCTGAGACCAGCTGAAAGTTGAACTTGAAACACTCTTCAGCCTCTCTTCCGTTTGCTGGTTCCCGAAATCTCGTGAGTCCTTCCAGTCCTCTTGCTCTGTCTGGCACCGTGCAGGCCTTTAGTGGCAAACCTAAAGCTGGTAGAGTGCATCGTTCTTCATCTCTCCACCTGATCCTCTTCCAGTCGGGTGCTGGCCGTGCTAGTTGGAGCTGCCTACTAGCAAGTATGGTGACGATAGTGATATGGTCTGATCCTGTGCTATCCATGGTATGGTCTCATGTTGTACAAAGGGGTGCACCAATCCGTTAACCAGTGTGTAGTCTATAACTGATGGTCTATGTCCTTCTGTATCCGGGAATCTGGTGTATATGCCCAGTTCGTTTATAATCATGTGCCTTTTTAGTGAGGCCACCCTAAACATTATTTCCCCCACCCTTCTGTCCTGCAAAGAAACATCCCTAAGGGGGTCAGTGTATATGGAGTGAATGTTAAAGTCCCTGCAGACTAGTGAAGGAAAGTCAAATGTATGAAAAATCCGCTCTGGCGACACTGCAAACCCGGTGTCTCCCACTGTATTATAAACATTTGATACCAAAATTGTTCTCCATCCTTCCAACAGGTCTTGTCCATGTGAGTCAAACCTTACTACCAGCAGGGAATCCATAGAAAACAATAAAACATTATAAGCAACCACCTCTGTGAAGTCCCTTTGTATATAAGTACATACTCTCGGCTTCTTAGAGTAGGGGGGAACAATACAAGTATATCCCGGGGCCCTTAAAGGGTACCCGTTGAACAACGGTAGATCCTGTAAACAAACAATCAAAGGCTGACTTTTCGTAATAATGAAAACAAAGTAAGAAAAACAACATTGCTCCCACGGCAATTATGTTGAACTATTTTAAAATCTTCTAAAGACTCCTCAGTATTCCTGCTCCACTCTTCTTACACTTCTGCCATAATTATGTCATGGGGTGTTCGGACACGTCCGCATAGGGGTTGCGGGCACGATAGGGCTCTTGGGCTTGTTCTTTCACTGCTATTTTGGTTGAGCAGGTATCATCTCCTTGCTATGGCTTTCTTCACAGTTGGGGCATCTGTTACACATAAGACGAACTGGCATAGTATAATGGGCATGTCACGTGATTATTGGCAAAAGATCACGTGTTCGATCCCAGGGTCCGTCGGAGTATTTGGAGAATGAGTTAATTTCTACCAATTCAACGCCGGCACAAAACCCTCCTTTACGCCACCACTGAAGGTCGCCGACTGAGGGGTTTCGCGGAATCCTCAAGAGAGGATTCTTGGCCATCCTGACAAGGTCAAACAAACTAAATCGGTCAGTCGGTTGTGGAGATAAACGCATGCAAAGATCTCTCAGCTGCGCCAATGGATGGATGCCAACCGGGGGGAGGTCGGCTACTACGATAGGAGTCCCCGGCTGCCATAAGGGCAGTAAGACTGGATTTCAAGTCCGTTGGTGGAGGAATGCAGAGGAAAATCCTGATGAGGGAACGACGCCCAAGAGACGATCGTTCACCCACGCCCAGAAACATGACAAGGTAGAGTCAGTTGAGGACCAACCACGTGAAGAAACCAACACTGAGCGCCACAAGGCCTGACAGCCATTGGTGCGATAAGATGGGAGCATGCGTCCTGCAGGTTGATGCAGACGGATGAGAAATCTACCTACATTGATAAGTCTGTTGTCGGAGCTGATCACTCCGTATGCAGAGAAAGGACCAGTAGCCGCTTGCCACGGTGAAGAGGTTCAAGTGGCTATGATTAGCACTGAGGCAGCAAGGTGAGGGGTAGGACACCCTCCCAGCTGCTCGAGGAAATCAGAGTCAAGTAGGGTAAAGGTTTTCAGGGTCTACGATGTTCGCAGACAGGAA